GTCGTTTCATGTTTAAAATGTGAACCTGTGCCTGATAAAGCCTCTGGAGCAGCAACTTGCAAGAAATAGGACAAACCCTGGTTGTGCGATCAGTGAAGCCTGCAGGCTGCTCTCTCTCCAAGTCCAATAGCTCAGGATCAACAGGTAGATTGTGGGCAAAAGACAAACATGGAGAGAGACTTGGAAGTCATATCGAGTGCTTACAATGAGCAAGATTAAGCCACGGTGTGTAGGGACACTGTTGGGTGACAAAGCCTTACTGACTCTTTTGGTCAGAAAGGATGTGGTCAGGATGGGCACGTGGTGGTTTCTGCAGTAGCTGTTGATGTTCCATTAATTGGCCTGAGTCTTGGTTACAAACGTGTTGGCTCATAGTAACACACAAAACTACAATTTAAAAAAAAAATCAGGGTAAGAGTTACCCTTGACAGGAAGAAGTGAGGGCAGCGATTTAGAGGCTACTGGTCTGGTTATTTCTTGAGCTCATACAGATTATAACAGTGTGTTCACTTAGAGAAAACTTACTGAGATGCTCTTTTCTGTATGTAATTTGTACTTCAATAGAAGTTTTTTAGAAGGAATGTTTATAAAATAGTAAACTAAGAAACAAGATTTTGAGTATCTGGAAATGCTCTTCTACATACATTTTTGAAAGACTAAATCAAAATTATATATGTCTTTTAAGGAATAATGACAGCAATGATGCCACTAATTAAATGTATAAGACCAAGGTAGAACTGAACGAAGAAGCATATTTATAGGCTTGACTTACTCATTTGTTTAAAATAAGACTTTAAAAATCACCCAAATTATGAAATTAAAACAACAAAACTAGATTGAGAGAAGCCGGGTAGAGAGGTTAATATTGACAAAATGTAATAAATTGGGAAATGGAAAAACATTTTCACACTGAAGAAATTCAATCTTTCATTTTTTTTAAAATAAAATAGTCAAAATGTCTGAAAAGTATAATCTTACAGAAAAGAATCACAAGCATACAGATATAGGGATAAAGGAAAAGGCCAATTTTAGGATAGTAAAATGTTAGGTTAATAATAGTTATAACTATGATAAAGTAGTTATTTTTTAATTAAGTAAATAGGTTTTTAAAAATATATAAATTGTCAAAATTACAACAAAAGTCAAAAATAAGAATAATTTAATAGTAAGTATAGAAAGCAAAAGTTCTCGACAACAGACTAGTTTTTCTCACAGATCATAAATATAAAATGTTATATAAAGTTTAGCAAGTGAGGAAAGATCAAAACCCACAGCAAAATAAAATGTACTGTAGAAAGGTAAGGAAAGAGCAATAATTTGAATTATGACAGAAGTATATCAAAAGTAGAGGACCTATAAAATACATTCATCTGCATGAATGTTAAAATGATAAATTTAAGATTTTCCTTAAAGAACTTCAAGTAAAATAGCAAAATAATACTATGGCAATGACAATATGTACATAATTTTCAAATCAACACATTTAGTAAAACAGAAATACCACCAGTATAGTGAGTAATAAGATGAACCCACATTTATCATTGTTCTGAAAGGTCTAGAAAAAACAATGAGGGACACTGGAACCAGGCTTTAGCACAGGAAGGAAGGAGACAAATGTTTCATAATGTTTCATGGATTACTGAGAAGAACATTGTTTTCTAGATAGAATACAACTACTGATTAAAATTATATTTTTAAATTAATTAAATGTATTTAATAACTGAAAGGCATACAAGGTTTGTGGAAGATGCAGTATTAAAATGTCAGTTCTTTCCAAATTAATCTAAAATGAAACATAAAATCAATTAAAATCCCAGTGAAAACTGTGGACACAATTCTTTACTTTTTCTTCCTCTACATCCAAAAAATGCTTAATAGATTTTATTTCTTACATTCATTGTTATGTAATTAGTATCTAAAAGAGAAAAAGACACTCAAAAATAAATATTTCTGTGCATCCAAAACAGGAAAATGGAGAAAGAAGAGTTTCAAGCCATGGACTGCTGGGTTCCAGGCTAATTACATGGAGGGGCTGGGAATTTGGCCCTCCAAGGTCAGGGGGCTGTAAGCACTCTTGTACAGATGGAGAGGGACCCAAATGGAGTTGAGTGTGATGCAGTCTACAGCAGAGCCCCACCACTCCTGCAAGGAGGCTGAGAGAAGCTGCCTGGAGTGGAGGGCACTAGGCAGCTGCTCAGGGCCAGGGCTGAGCCAGGCAGTGAGTGGAACTGAGATATCTGCCATGTAGCTGCAGGATGGGAGCCCACAGCTCTCAACATAAGACCTGGCTCTGAACTGCAGAGTTAGGGGTAATAGCAGAAAGGACCACAGGAATGACAGGTGACATATAGAAAAAGAAGAGTAAATGTCGCAACATATAAACAAACTCACCTGTGAGGCCAGCTAGCAAAAGCACAAGCCACGAGAACATTTAACAAGCAGAAATTTCAAAATATAAGCAACTAAGAGATGAATGAACTCCTGATAAAGACAAATTAATCTAGTTGAGTGAATCTAAAAGGTTATGCCAAGACTCTATAAGGAAAATGACAAAATACAATTAAATGGTATTTTTTAAATGGTCTGAATAAATGTCTACATACACCATAGTCAAGGAATAAGGCAGACAGAATATCATAAATATGTCAAATCTCTTCAAACTATAGTATAAATATGGTGCAATTCCAGCCAAAATTCAAATATGGTGAATTTTTTAATACAGGTTGGTAAAGTAATCCTAAAAGTTATACACACTAAACGTCCTGAATTAGTCCAAACAAATCTGAAAACAAAGGACTGGGAAGAAAGAGGCAGCATGAACTCCTGGGAGGCATGGAGGAGCAGAAGGCAGGCAGAGTCTCATCCGCGAACATGGTCTACAGTGGGAGGGCTGCCAGCTGATGCACTAAAGATACTTTGTTGAGAAAATGGCATTAGGCAAAGGGAACTCTGGACAGAAAAGAAAGCAAATTGTATTTCTACTGCACAATATATATAAACTCCATAGAAGACAAACACATGGATGTAAAAGTCTTGAAAAGAAAATCTGGAGAATAACTAGCTTTATGACCTGAGAAAAAGAATTTCTTAAGATTCAAAAGGCTAGAAATAAGAAAGAGAAGAAATGCTAAATTGACTCCTTCAAAACTGGGAACTTCTATGCACACAAAATTTAAAACAAAGCTCAAATACAAGGTATCTCTGAAAGATAACACTTAAAATATTTAAACATGCAAAAGATTGGTTCCAGAGGCAAGTTTACTCTTGGGGCAAAGTGACAGCAAAAATCACTGCATGGGAAAACACTCAAGTTCATGAGTAATTAAGGAATGCATATGAACAATGAGATTTCATGCCCTCTAGACTTGCAAAAAATTAAGACTTTTAAGAATTATATCGAAGATTATGAAATGCTCATGGGATAAGTATAAATGAAGTATATACAATGATCTTTATATTCTTTTCTGACTTTAAGACACATCTTTCCACACAAACACCACAGTTAATCACCCACACTTATACACACTCAGAAAATAGATAAGAAGTAAATACATATACAAACAGAGATATATGCATGTTTAAATTAGACTAGTAGGAAACATGTTAATATTAACACTGCATTTTAGGACTTTGGGAAAAATTTTTGTCCTCCTAGTGCCTGGTACATGATAGATGGACAGTAAGCATGTGTTGACACAATTAGTTAATGAGTAGGTGACTGATATTTTTGAACAACTTTTTTTGACTGACTATATTTGAACTCTCAATTAAACTATTTCCAAGTCTATTTTGGAATGAGTCTATGATCCCCAGTAGACAAACGATGACCTCAAATATGGTACTGAAACAGTGGTAGCTATTTATAATATTGACCTTCACTGAATATACAGCAAGGCACATGGTTTTCCTTATATAAGTTCAACAACAGACATCTGAAATCTATTATCAAGTTACAGTGAATGTGCTGCTGAGGGGTGGAGGGGAAAGACATATTTTTTTCTTTTTGGGGGGCCCCTAGAAAGATGCCAGGGGCCACAGTACTGAAAAGAAGAAGTGTGGGTACAGAATGGGATATGGATGCATCCATGTTAAGACACACATGATGGCATGTGGCTAGAAAACAGCTGTAAAATTAAAGGTGGAAGAGTTGAGAGTATGTAAGTGAGGCAAATTTACTCTTGGGGTAATGTGAGAGCAAGAATCAAGCAGCCAATCCAGCATCCAGAGTGTTTTAGAACAAGGAATCTCTTCTTTGTAGGAGAGGAAAAATACCACCATTCCCTGTCCTGGTCAGAGCAGGAGAGGAAAAAAATTGGATGGCCAGCAGATGCCTGCACACATGTTGGCATCCCCCACCCTGGAGGACATGTCCCCATGCAGCACTGTCATTTAGAAGGGATTCCAGGACATGTCATGCACACCCTGAGAGGCCAAGGTAGTAGTGACATGCAGGAATAAAGCTGTGAATGTGGGGTCACCTACAGGGCCCAGATGGCCTGGGGTGGCCTCTGGAGTGCAGGACACCTTCCACCTTCCATTCTATTTAGATCAAAAGGAATAAATGTTTCCCCTATGCCTCCAAATGCCACTCTGGTTTTTAATATGTACAATCTTCCCAGACCAAAGTTATCTGTACAAAAGAAGAAAGCCACCCAGCCCCTCTAGCCACTCCCATGGCAGAGGAGGAGGCATTTAAAGCAGAAAGAGCCAGCCCCTAGCCACCAGGCCACCAGCAGCCTGACACCTCCCACCCCGCTGGTGCCTCCAGAAGGGGTCAGCATTTGCCAACACCTCCTTGACCCTCTGGCCAGAAATACGGAGTTTTTTCCTTCACATTTGGAGGGGTCTTTTCCTTTTTGAGGAGTGGGAGCTGGAAGGTGAATTTGGAGGACAATGACTCAAGACTCAGACGCTAGTTTGCAGGACCGAGGGGATGCAGCAGTTCTCTGGGCTTGATTATCAGCTCTATAGGCAGCCATAGTGAGTAAGTCTGGATTTACCCTGTGGGAGTCCTGAGGATGGCATGTCCAGAGGTGGGAGGGATGTCCCCAGCCAGCATCTGGAAGGTGGTGCTCTTCCCAGCTCCGTTCACCCCTAGCAGCCCAAAGCACTGGGAGGAGAGAAGAGGGAGACAGCACAATCAAAATCCCCTCAGAGACAGCATTCGCAGCAGCAAGCTGAGTGGCTATTTGTGGTTTGTGATATCTGTGGGCTTTTAAAGGCACACAAACATATAAGGCCCTTTACAGATGACAGCATACTTCCGAAATTATCCCAGCCTTTGAATGGTGTAACATTTCCTGCAGTAACCTGCAGACAGGTCCATTCACATATGGAAAAGCCAGCAGGGTGAGACGGGAACATCAGCTACCACAGGTGATGCTGAGATTTCCTGTCCTGAGTGGGACCAGCTGTGTCCCTTTGGTGAGTAAGATATTTTTTGGAAACTACATCGTCATAATCACTGTTCTCCCCCGACCTCACCACCCAGTGGCAAGTCCTTTCTCCCTTGACCTCACTGCCCAGTGTAAAGTCATCTGTTTTCTGAGGGCACAAGTTGGATTTCTATCTGCTGACTTAACCTGGCTTCCTGGATCCTTGCCTCTTGGAAAGGTGCCTGCTCTGGACCTGCTGTCACCATGCCCTACCTAACTACCACAAGACCCTGTTTTGTCTCTCTGGATGGCAATTGCTTCCCCGGATTGTTACCTGCTTCAGTGCCCTCTCTCTCCCATCTCACCTGGCTCTCCCTTCCATCTGTAAGGTGGCCCATCCTGTTCCGGGCCTGCCCTGTTTCTGTTCCATGTCACTCCCGTCAGCAGGCCACATGAGAGCTGGCTCTCCCACGGGACAGCACCACCCATTACCCAAACCTTCCGCTCTCCGAGGCTCAGGCTTCAGTTTATATAAGCTCACCTTTTTATAAAGGGTGCCAACACCCACTACCCTCCCACCTTCCACCCTTTCCTGCCCAGCTGCCGCCTCTGGACTGAGAGCTCTAGGGCGACACACTTGTGGGCTTTTATTCTTGCCCTGCCTTGGGACAACACTCAGGCCATAGGGCATTTTCCTCCAGTTCCTACCCAATTATTAATCCTAGACAAACAGAGCCATACTTCACCATGTCTGCCTCTGCCACAGACTGTTATAAAGCACTTTACATCTAAGTAATTAAATTGTGATGCTCATAAAATGCCTGGCAAACAGAATCCAAGTGTAAATGGCATTTTGGATCATTTCAGATACCTGGAGCATATCTCTTAGGAGGCATTCCAAATTTTCTCTTCCCTTTTAGCTTAAACTACCACAGAGAGGTGTTGACAAAAGTAAAGTTGGCTTTTGAAGCAAGGGTAAACAATGGTTCCATAAGATGCCAAAGATTGCATAGCTAGTCTCGAGTTGAATAGCAAACAACAACTATAAAAAACTCTTTCCTTACTGTCCTTTGCAGCCAGAACCAGTGTGTAAGGACATCCTGGATTGACTAAGGTTGGCCTCCTGGCTTCTCTTTGCCTCCCTGTACTCATATCTGAAACGCCTGCTTTCCACTCACAGTAAAGCATAGGCGCCAATCAGATAACAATATAAGCTATTTTGAATTTCTCAGAAGCTTGGAACAATATGAATGCAAAGTACTATCTCATTTTTAACAGTTAATTAAAGGTAATCATTTCCATAACTGATTTCCCTTTATGCAATTAACACAAATCAGGAACAATTTACATGACTTCTGTTAGTTCTGATTCAACATTTCTACCAGGCCTAATGTCATATCCTTGAAAAAAAAAAAAAAACTCCTGCGCTTTGCTTTGGCGTGTGAGCACCCTTTACCTTTCCTGAGTAGCTTTTCACTAGACAGGCCTAATGGCCACTTAAAGGGTACTGAAGTCCAAGTGAGAGTTAGAAATCGTTTTCTTAATTACTTGGATTCATAAAGTATTTACACTCAATGAAAAGTAACCCCATAACTCAAATAATAATTAAAACTCTTCAGTCACATGAAATTTTTAAGATTACAAAACATAATCAACCCCATCACTCAACTAGCAAAGTTTTCACAAAGAGTCAACAGTCTCTCTATGCAGATTCTACTTCTACTGATTTTGCATAAATTCCTGAAATTTGAAAGCTGCTTTTAGTTCTTCTATCAAATATTCTAAGAATAAGATGAGCAGGTCAACAATCAAAGGGACCCACATTTTCCACGGAAAGGGGTGCAGCTAGAAGCTTCTTTACCTCTCCTCTTCGTATGCCCAAAGTGATATCTTGCACGGCAGGGGTCCTCTTGAAAAAGCCACTGTAAGTTCTGCTGAGGTTGTACAGCACAAGGATATCTCCAGCAGTTCTTCCTTTCAATACCCGTATCTGCTCTTTTTCAACATCTGTGTCCTTAGAAGACGTGACTGTGCCGTAGATGCCAGAGTGACCCCTGGGAAGAAGAAGCCAGCATTAATTCACACCTGGGAAATGGGACTGGAGGAGTCAAGAGAGAGAAAGAGAGAAAAAAAGGTCAGATCTGTCAAAACAGGAGCTGTCATCTTGAGACCCTGCAGTCTCAGCTCTGGTCCAAGCCCCCCGATGCCACCCTCCGGATCACTGATAACCAGCCAGCCAACATCCATTGCCTCATGTGGAGAAATGCAACCTTGAGGTGGATGGACACCCAACTGGACTTACTCTTCAATTTTATGAATGACCAAGGCATGCCAGACTTCTGTGCTAGACGGATAAAGAATTTATCACAAAATTATCGTACAGAAATAATTTTCCTAAACACCTTTAGCAAATAGATCATTTAATAAAGTAGAATATATATATAAGTACCCAAACATTATAGTTACACACATATAATGGATTATACAGCATATATGTTGGACATCATAAAAGAATTATACTGCAAGCAGTTGGCACATTTTGCCCAATGTATTTAACAAGTATTTGCCAGATGAATCCAAGTTTAATGTTCAACATACAACATAGATGATAAGCAAATACAATTAGCTACTCTGTAATATTATTATCCAGTATCATTTTATGCCATTCAAAACAGGAGAAATAAATCAATGGGGATAAAAATAAGGACAGTGTTACCCACAGAGTGGTTATCAATATGCAAGAGGTCACGGGGGCTTCGGAGAAGCTGCTAGTGCTCAGCCTGGGAGAAGGTAACACAGGTCTGGTTAATTTCATTGAGTGTTACACTTTTTTGTTTGACTGCTGTTTTCTGCTTTTCCAGTCAGAGGCGAGTCCTGGACTCCTCAGCCTGGCCTGCCTTCCCGACATCCTTTCTCACTCTAAAAGGGATCAGGCTGCCCTTACTCCTCCTGTTTTCAAGATCCACCACCAAATTGCTCCCCCAGCAGTTCTGGCCCTCTGCTCATCAGAATCTCCCAGGAAACTTTATAAACACCCCCCAATTTCATGCCCAGAGCTTCTGTTTGAACGTCAAGGCATTTCAATGGGTGAATGAAAGTCAGTCAAGGTCACTGTGTTGGCCACCTCACCACAACCCAACACACAGTTCATCCTACTGTGCTTAGAAATGTGGTTCTCAGTCATCTCCCAACCACTAAGCCTCCTCAATGGCACCTGTATTCCAGAGGAAGAATCTAGATGGGCCCAGGGAAGCAGAATGTTCCAGGGACCCAACTCGTGGGGCCTGGCTAGGAATGTAGACCCGTCTAAGCAATTATTAGAGCTGGATCTAAAGAACAGATTAATTTGGTCAGATAGTCATCGTAGCAGTTATCCTTAAGGAAGGGGCAGACAACCTGCATCTAGATTAAATTTCTGTGCTCTGTAACCTTCATGTTGACACAGAACAATAAATATTGACTACTTACTGTAGATAACAAAGACCTTATTCTAAAATATGGTTTAACTTATTTTCTACAAAGTAATACAGAAAGAAGTTTTCTCTTTAAGGAAAAATCTTTTGATGCTATGGGAGAAGGGAGCAGTCTGAAATCGATGAAAGGGGGATTGTGTAAAACATATAAATATAAAAATATATAAATATATATGTATAAATATAAATATATATATATATA